ATGTGTAACAATCAATTTATTAATAATTAAAAATTTCATTAAAAATTTATTAATAAACACTAAAATTATATCATTGTGACATAGGTAAACGTTTCGATCCTATTATTTGGGTCCTCTTCAGTCCCAAAAAAAAATCACAAAAAAATTTGTATAAATAAATGTGTAGAGTAATTATGTAACAGCAAGATTGAAAGTTGCGAAGATTGTGTCCATTACAAATGCATGACAAGAATTTGGTAGAATTGATGTCATGAATAAGGAAATGGGCTGACGTACATTTCAGAGATGCATCCCGTCATTAATTGAATAATCAATTAGTACTAACTGTGACTTCTGATGGTTAAGTTCGCGTCAAATCTATCGTCATTGATTATTCAATTAATGACGGGATGCATCTCTGAAATGTACGCCAGCCCATTTCCTTATTCATGACATCAATTCTGCCAAATTCATGCATTTATAATGGACACAATCTTCGCAACTTTCAACCTTGCTGTTACATAATTACTCTACACATTTATTTATACAAATTTTTTTGTGGTTTTTTTTTGGTACTGAAGAGGACCCAAATAATAGGGTCGAAACGTTTACCTATGTCACAATGATATAATTTTAGTGTTTATTAATAAATTTTTAATGAAATTTTTAATTATTAATAAATTGATTGTTACACATTATATCCTGTGTCGGCTCTAATAGGCATTGAAAGATTTTTATGCAGATTATATGAGTATAATTTCCATTGATTGAATGGCCCAATTGTTCAAACGCAATTTATTAATTTCTTCTCTGTTCCGAGTGATTTCTAGCACCATGAATTCTAAGGCCTGATTCCATCAATGTAAAATTAACTTTAATTTCACTGAAATTGTTGTTTACATCTTTACAATTCTTAGAATTAAAAAAGATGGAAGAGAAAATTTAATCAAGATTAAAATTAATCTTACATTGATGGAATCAAGTCTCAAATTTTATTTAATAAAGTCACAAAGGGGTCTAGTTGCTTCTGTACGTCCTACACTATAAAAATTTCATGAAATTTAATATACTTTTTAGTTACTAATTAAAACTTAATTTCATGATAGTATATTACATTTAATGTATTTATAACTGAAAAGTGTATTTGTACATCTACATGAAATTTAATGTACACGTTCATTACATTTAAGTAACTACTGTAACTTAATTTTCAATTAAATCATTCATTACTTTTAATTTCGTTCATAACTACGTGTTCCTTTACATGTAAAGGTAGCTTCTCTAAAGCCTCGTGTCCGCGGTGCTAGAAATCGGTCCGAGATCTGAAGAAAGAATTGACCAATCGCAATGGTCATCAAATTGTTCAAATGTAATTTGTTAATTTTTTTCTCTGTCCGAGATCTCAGAATTCTAGCATCGTAGATATCGGGCTTTAGGGCTCCGCACAATAAAAGGAACAAGGAACAGCGAACATAGAATAAGAATTTCAACTTATCAGAAATCATGTATTGTGGAATACACAGTTTCTGACAAGTTGAAATTCTTATTCTCTGTTCTCTGTTCCTTTTATTGTGCGGAGCTCTTTATGGTATAAAGAAAATTATCCAATTTTATGTGGGTCTTTAAAAGAGAAATGCAATTGGATAATTTTCTTTACGCATATGTTTATGCAGCTATGCAAGTGTGTTGTGTGGATATACCCTTAAGGCCGCAGCACACATTTTTGCATAACGCATAGTGCATAAGTGAATCAACTAATCAGAATCTTTCCTTTCCTCCCATTCCATGGAAAAGAAGACTTTTGATTGGTTTGATTCCTTTGTGGAATCAAACCTATGCATTATGCGTTATGCAAGAGTGTGTGCTGCAGCCTCTACAGACTGGGTTCGGGGTGACGCTATTAGCGCTATTTGTGTCATTCTATCTTCATCGTCCATTAAATGTGAAACAAGGATAGTATGACACAAGTAGCGTTGATAGCGCGCTCCTTGAACGCAGCCAGTGTATCGTCTTGAGGAGTGAGGACTGCTAGACGGGGACGGTGGCGCTATCTTGAGTGTCACGGTCTCTCGAGGGGAGGTTGCAAAGAACGCGCGCTCCGCCGGGTAAGCGGCAATCTGCGGGACGGCGCTCCGACGGTTCGCTCGTCGAGTCCGCGCGCGCGTTCGAAAGACGGAGCGCATTTCGTG